TGAAGATCTTTCCTGACGTGCCTGGGTGGGGGAGTCCTGTCCATAAGGCTATGGCAGGGATGTTCCTGACGATAACACCCAAGCAGGTACTGCATCGACAACATATAGTTGTGACGATGGACGGGTAAGATCTTCGTCTCCTCATGAAGATGGTCCACTGGAGTCATGAGGAGACACCCTGTTGCAGTTCTCAGGGCAGCGTTCTGGCAGGTCTGAATATTCTTCCACTGCGTATCACTGACATTCGCGAACCACACTGGCGCCGCATAGCTTACCACTGACCGGCCTATTGCTTTATAAGAGGTCAACAAGGTTTCTTTGTCAGCGCCCCAAGTGCTGCCGGCTAGCGACTTGAGGACCTTGTTCCTACTTCTCAGCTTATCGCATAAAGCAGTGGCATGCGCGGACGACTTGAAAAGGCTGTCGAACGTTACTCCCAATATCTTGGGGTAGTTGGTGGTCGGAATCAATTCACCATCGACCATTATGTTCAGCGGGAGCTTCATTTCAGCCGTCCATGTGGTGAACAGTGTGGCTGTTGATTTGGTGGCGGATATTTTCATATTCCTCAGATGGAAGTAGTTAACAATATCTGCTATGTAGATGTTTAGCCTCTCACATATATCATCAATAATGGGACCCGACGCCATGATCGTGCAATCATCCGCATACATCACGATCTCTATGCCGTCCGGTGGTTGTGGAATATCAGAAAGGTAGAGGTTAAACAGTTCCGGAGATATCACCCCTCCTTGGGGAACTCCCTGTTTCACTCTACGGGGTTTAGACTTCCTGTTTCTGAATTCCACATACGACTGGCGTCCACACATATAGTTGACTATCCAACGTTTCAAACACGGTCGGAGATTCGTCCTCTCTATATCCTCGAACAGCTTGGCATGGTTGACGGTATCGAAGGCCTTCGATAGGTCAAGTGCCACCATAACTGTTCGGTTGCACGGCCTGTTCTGGTTGAGTCCTCTGCTAATATGTGTGGAAATGGCGTGTAATGCTGTTGTTGTACTATGCATCTTACGGAATCCATGTTGGTATTGGGCAACTGGAAAACTGCTTCTCAACGATGGGAGGAGTAGCGCCTCAAGTGTCTTCGCTACCGGCGACAGGAGTGAAATCGGCCTGTACGATTCACCCCTGCTGGCATCCTTGCCTGGCTTCAGTAGCGGGACCACCCTGCCTATTTTCCAGGCTTCAGGAACTATGTGGGTGGTTAACGACAAGTTGAGGGCTGATGTTAGGTACTCGACTCCAGGTTCATCCAGCTGCTTTAGCATTACCATGGAAATTCCGTCCGGTCCCAACGCTTTGGATGATTTAGCGTTCTTGATGACATCTGCAACGTCCTCCTTCGTAAATTGTGGTGGTTCCTCCTCAGCTCGGAGTGCTCTTATGCGACGTAGCACACTCCTTTTCGCCCTGTCACTCTCGGGGTGCTCTATGAACTGCCGGTTAAAATAACTCGCGCACCTCTTCGGGTCTGTTACAGTTACGTCGTTAAATGTAACAGCCGTCCTGTCATCTTTCCTTCCAGGATTCGAGAGTGACTTAACCGTTGCCCACAATTTACTCGTTCCGGTGGCAATGTTGCATTGCTTCAGGTGGTCTAGCCACTTTTTCCTTTTGTGCTCGCATACTAATCTGTTGACTTCAAGGGTAAGCTCTCGCACCCTTGGGTCCTCAGGAGTAGTACGACGGAGCTCATCACGCTCATTGGCCAATACCGTTGCTTCTGCTGGGAAGTTAGGTCTTACTTCGGGTATTCGACCAGCAGGTATGAAGCGAGCGGCAGCAGTAGCGATGATTTTGCGGAAATTCCTCTCAGCTACCCGTGGATCTGAGGGAGTGGGCAGCTCTCTGAAGCGGTGATTGGTAAACTCTCTGAAGCCAGGCCAATCAGCTTTCCCATGGTTCAGGAAAGTACGGCTTTCAGAGGTTATGAAGTCTGGTGGTCTGTTTACGGAGACGATGATCGGAAGGTGGTCTGAGCCTAGTGAAACGACGGGTTGCCAGGTTACGTCATTTATCAGACCCGGTGCCACAATGGTGATGTCTGGCGAGCTGTGGCAATCTCCTCTAATCCTCGTGGGGGCATCCTCATTAACCGTGCAAAATGTTGAGCTATCAATTTGCTCAGCCAGCGCTGTACCCCTCTGGTCATTACCTAGGACGGAATGCCATAATTCATGGTGGGCATTGAAATCCCCTAGTACCAGGCGGTTATTACCTTCTAAAAGCGGACTGATATCCGGTAAATAACGCGGTGTACAGCTATTCATCGGCGGTATATAAACATTGAGCACCTCTACCTCGGCAGTTCCACACTTGACTGCTACCCCCATACATTCCATGTATGGGTCACTAGAGTCTAGCTCAAGCGAGATAGGTCTGTACTGGACAGAATGGTGTAATAAGAATGCGAGTCCCCCACCTCCGCTTCTGGTACGATCCTTCCGCACAACGTTGTAACCATCGCAACGCTGCAAGCTACAGTTCTCAGTTAGCTTGGTTTCTTGGATCGCACCGACCATTATTCTCTTGCGACTCATAAAATCTACAATTTCGCTGATTTTGTTGCGAAGACCGTCGCAGTTGAACTGCAAAAACGATGCATTTTCAAGGCGCGGAACAGCAATATGTGGTGTTAAATGCTGCGCGTTTTGCTGTTGGGGAGACTGCGGGGGTGTCTCGTACTCCGACGATGACGATTCGGATGATGAATCGGACGACGACTCTTGAGACACACTGGGAGACGTGCTAGCGCAGCATGAAGCAACGTAACTCCTTTCGCAGTACTCCTGGATCCTGTTCAGTCCAGAGCAGCCTCGAAAATGCACCCATTCTCCACATCCATTGCATCTCACCGAGACAGATCTGTGGTGGATGCGGTTTCTGCAAACACTGCAGAACCAAGGTCCGGGGTTACTTTCAATCCCGGCACGGACCAGTAGGGTTCGGAGCAGGCATTCCGGGATATAATGCCGCTCCCATGACAAAAATGACGAACACGAACATGTAATTGTTGATGTGGCAGCCTCTGGTCGGAGTCCATCTCCGAGTCAATCCGGTACAAAGAACCAGCTGCCGTGGGATTGTTTTCCAGAGGTAGGTATGTTTACCTATTTTACTCGGTTATTTGACAGGGAAGTTCGGGTAAAACTACCTACCTCTGGAAAAAATTTCAGAAAAATCTGATCGTTTTTACTAAACTAGAGTTGTTCCGCGATTGGCAATGGTCAAATTCCTATAGATGTCTCGACAGGATTAATATATTTCCCAGCTAAGTTTTGTGAGTGCACATCGCCTAAGGAGGAACTCATCACAAAAATGTTTCCAGGCATTGAACAAAATTATATAAATCAAGACTGGATTAGTGAACGGGCAATACTAGCAGCGTAGAATAAGGACATCGGTAGCATGAATATCATTATTCAAAATCAATTGTACAAAGCGATTGTTTTAATGTACACCAAATACAAATTGAAGCAATTTTTAATGGAGATTTTCCTAAAATCGCAAAACCCCAAAATTTGGACCGATTTTGATGACGCATGGGAAGGTGGAACATGTGTATTCAAATCCTCAAATTACTACAACTGAGAAGTCAAAGTAATATGAGGCCAGAATCAACGTAAACAGGATTTATTTCGCGGAACAAACCAGATAACTATTTTAATATTAAAAGGCGGTTATATGGGGACTATCCGTAAAGGGGCCTAATATTAATAATTTTTTGGGAGATTTGTTACAAAATACCAAACGCGCTCAAGAAACCCAAAATATCAAAAATTGGGGAGTAGCCTTATATGGGGGCTACCCCAAAAAATACCTATATTTATAATGTCGAAAATTCGGTCGAAAAATACGCTCAAACCCCCCCAAATTGGTGCCTAAACCTGGACCAATATCGCTCATTTTCGAACTTGTCCTGCCTGCAGACAAAAGACATATCTATGAAAAAATTTGGCGATCAATCTCAATTCGTTTAAAGAATAGAGTGATAACAAAAGACAGACAAATGAAATCGTCTTAGAATTTTACGCTGATCAAGAATATATATACTTTATGAGATCGCAAATGGTTATTTTGATGAGTTCCAAAGGGAAAAACAAAAATAATGTACTTTCCATACCATAGTGGATGGTATACAAAAAATGCTTAACCCATCGAAAGCTATAACGAACTTACAATGATTTGTTTAGTTAGATTTGCAATGCTTATGTATAGTACATATAATATAGTTATATATCTGAATCTTAAGACGAGACTGCGTTTGGCTAAAGTATAATCTTGCCAAGATTTGTTTTTGAACCCCTCAAAGAGTTTTACACCTTTTTCAAGTTTCAGTAAATAGAACGATTCGGTTTGTACATAAATAATATTAGCTTACCTACCGTTTACTGTAAAATTCCTCAGTGGAATTTTTATAAAAACACAATTCATATTGTCATTCTTCAACTTCTTTACGTTGAGGACAATTTTTAATACTTTCTCTTTTAATTTGAAAAACTTCATCGCTGAGAATTCACTCGTATAAAAGTGTGTTAATTGGTCACTTGTTCATTGTCATATCATCCGTTTGCTTACGGCTTTGTCTGAACATTAAACAAATTTGTATGCTTACTTTACGGTTTTATATATATATAGGCGAACATTCATAAAATATATTTTTGCAAAAACTAAATAAAAAAAGACTTATGATTATGGGTAATTTAATTTGTTTTATTTGTAATACAGATTAGAACAACCAACAATAAACAGTTCTATACACAAAAGAATACAAAGATTTTAAAATAAAATGTCATTTTTTTGGCCTGTCACCTCAGAACAACATAAAATTGCACTTTCAGGTGGCTCGTGACGCCTAACGATATTTATTTATGGAATGGAACAAAAACTATATAGAAGTCTAAGAATTACGCCAGTCACCTGCTTTTGTATATTTCAATGTACAATCCATAGAATACTAAAAAAACACATAGCACTTTACAAGTCACCGCCCGGCACTATATTATAGTTTTTTTCTTGTTTCTTTATAAAATTATAACTTAAAGCGATTTTGGGATTTGAAGCAAAATGACATCGGCGATTTATTGCAGTATGTTATTAGAACACCTTAACGGACCAAATCCTCAGGGTTGAACATACCCTAGAAAAAACGAACAAACAAAACATCAATTTTATTACAAAGTTTCAACATGTTACTGCTTTTGTTGAGAAAACTTACCCTGGCACGTCTCAAAATGGAATCTTTGCTGGCGTCATAGGGATGATCTTTGGAGGGGATTTCAAGAACAGCAGGAACTGGTGAGGTGTGGGCATCGATCACGTGACGGATAAGTTCAGCGCAGTTTTGGTTGATTAGGATGATGTCGATGTCATCGCGTTTCAAGAAACGCTTGAAGCAATCTTCAATTTCGCTGACAGCAGTATCTACATAACACACATGTCCGGGTTAGACAATATTTATTTTCCCATTTGGAATACAAAATAAATAAAATAAATACTTACTCTTATCGACCACCATGAAATTTGGGTGACGGTTTTTGTTTATTTCACCTACACCTCCGAGCAAGAAGCCAACACAGGTGTCCTACAAAGTTCCATAAAAAATCTTAATGCAATTTTAAGTATTTTATTGTTTTGAAATTAAAAATACCTCATCACCAATAACTGAAATCAATTTTCCACGAATAGCTGAATGCAAAGCCATTTTTTCCAAATTTTTTCAGCCTTTTGTGGTAGAAAATGAATACTGCAACGAAAATGTGTATGTAATTGTAAATTTCTTGGCTGGTCAGATGACAAACGTCAAAATGCAAGCGGTGTTCACACTGTTGTGTTCAAAATAGGAAAATGACAGAACAGCTGATTGTGAGCGTAATGTTTAAATCAACACTGTTGACGTAAAGGCGTATAACAGGAAACGTGTGTCGTAAGGTAGTTTTAATACAGTTGGACCTCCATAAGCGCAATTACGGTAAAAGAATGAAAAACTAGCAACATTTTACTACAGTTAGTCTGTTTCAGAACTGCAATGTAAAATTGTTTTAATATTGCAATAATTTTTTCCTTAATGATATAAAAAACTATTGAAAATAGTAGATTTTTGCATTACGGAAACAGGTCAATAGTAAAAAAGTATACATTCTTGCTCTTCAAATGGCACATAATAAGAAAATGTCAAAAATAAATTTAAAAAATAGAAGGTTCTTCTATTATTTAGGATACAAGGAGATTTTGTACCCACTGGACATCGTACTAAATTGCAGCCACTATATCTAATCTTGGACCAATATTGTGAAGGAAAATTTATATGGGGGTTACCTAGAAGTAACACCACCACCACAATCTTAATCTGATGCAAGACTTGGGGACTAACACCAGAGATCACACCAGAGAGGGTGGCAAGGGGTTAACAAGTGTACACTGCTGGCTAAAATGAGTACTCTACAGAGATCGGCGTCGATACTGACTACCGGACCGCTGAGAAGCACAACAGGCATCCATGAATGCAATTATGAATCTCCAACCACTGGATTTTCTGGTTAACTTCCGGCTGCAAGAAGTATCTTGAGGCTCCGGAAAACGGATGCGAGGAAGTCGCGGCAATTTGGCCACGCTAGTATCCTTAACACATCCTCAATATGTGACTTTTAAGAGAGGAGTACTCAAATCGGTGATTATGCTCCATCTCATAACGACTTTATCGATATTAGAGTAGAGTTTCCTAGTAGGGAATCCTGGGCATGTGGCTCCTAACCTCTGCCGGTCTGTTGATATTTACAGACGGGTCGTAGAGGGAGGAAGGTACTTGTGTACGCGTTTACTGCATCACGAAAGCGGCTGAGATGGTCAAAACACTTACTGCCGACAACATAGGACCGACGACTATATATGTCGATAGTCAGTCGGCCCTTAGGGCACTCAAATCGTGCATTATTAACCCAAAAGAAGTACGTGACGGAGTGGATTATGGTTCCTACTTTTGCGCGGACGATTTAAATATGCTTTCTAATGTGATCCCGAGAATTTTGGAGTAGTTAATGGTCGGAATTGTCAATCTCATGGGTTCTAGTATACCGAATTGACCTAAAACCACTCGGCCAACGGCTTTCACCGCAGTTATATATTAGAGAGGACATTTGTTAAGCATGTTTAAAATCGAAATGTATCTTAGGAGCATTTTTTGTATATACACAAAGTGTTGTAGGGTTAAATATAGACGGCTCGTGCGACTAAGGTTTTTTAACTGGGGTTTTATATCAACTGTATATACACTAGAGCCTTCACATCTATCTTGAAAAATTCCATATCCGAGCTGCATTGAGGACTATAATTTTTAGTTTACAACTTTCAGATTGCAGAGCGACTTTAATAATTGTGCACTGTATTCTCAAATTCTGTTCAGAATTGTTCTGGATAACGGGACGATAATATAAATAAATGGAAAGTAAAAAATACAGTATTCAGGGTACTGTACAGTACCCTTTATACATTTTCAGAATAGATGTGTATTACATACTTTTCGGCGTCTTATTACATCAAATAAAACCCTTTGTAATATACAGTCTGTCTTCAGCAGAACATATACTAAATTTAGAACGATACAGATTTGCAAAGATAACCCGCAAAACTTTAAGTGTTCCACATAATTGCATCACACATCCTTTTCGAATATTCCATGCACACCACAGTTTGGTCTAATTTAAACTTCTTTCATGGAACTTTCTCTGTGGAGGATAATCGTTAGTCGGGCGGCGGACCAAGATCTTAACCACAAGAAAGAAAGACTGCCAATTCTTACTTCCTTGCAAATTCCCCCCCATTTATCCAATAAAGAAAAAATAAAACGTAAAATAATTTGTCTTCTTCATGTTGAAAATTGTTATATAATGATATATATTTAAATTAAAATTGAAAATAAAATAAATACATTTTGGAAATTTCTTTCTATTCTTAAATTAGATGTTGTGGTTTTTTTGTTACTACAAAATACAAATAATTTAAGATGATTAAATTAAATTTATGAGAATTGATTTTGTTTTTTTGTTTAGTTTAATAAACATAATTTATTTTTTCTACAATATATATACTAAAAAAATACATATGTGCTACCAACATAATACATGTACACACAGTTATCGATCGGGTGGTTAAGCCTTAAAAGCTAACCTAGTTTTATATAACAAATGTAATTATGATTTCTGTTTATATTGTGTTTTGTTTTTAATACAATTATAAATATTATACTTAATTTAATAATGATAATATATATATATTTTAATTTTACACTTACGGTGTAAAAATTTATTGAGAGGTTTGCCTTCATTTTTTGATTTGCCCAATGAGGGTAGGTAAGGGGAATATTAAAACAGTTTGTTTTGCTTTGCTTGTTAAATTATATATAGCCTAAATATAATTTATTTATGTTTCATGTTTCTATTACTATTATTCACTGGGATTGTCTGTCTACATAGTTTTGGTATTTTTTTTGGGTCTACTATTTTTGTTAACTCTACACGAAGGTTAAGTAATTTTCAACCCAAAAATCAAAACTAATTTTTATCAACTATAGTTATTGTTAAATAGAATACATACAACTAATTTTTTATATATATTTTAAAACAAATGTGTATGAAGATTTCAACGTAGATTTGGTGTGGTTGTTTTTTTTTTTTTAGAAAATCACACATTTGTGTCTATGCAATTTCTTGCGTTCTTCTAAAGAACGCATCTTCTCTTCATACCATTTGAGAAAACGTTGCTGATATGTATCGCGTTCATATTGTTGACGCGAAACATGGTATGCCTTGTGATACGTGGTTATGGGTAATATCTCTTGTTCTTCACGGCTCATATTGGCCGTAATGTTTCTACACTATTTACAGTGTACGCTGTTATAGGTGGGTTCATTTGATTTGACACGTAGCTTTTGCTTGTAATGATATTCCTTTAGATAGGATTTTAGGCGTACTGGCAATTCCAGTTCATTGATGCCATCATAGGTGGTGTTCGAGACAATTGTGGCACGACATAATTGCTGCAGTGAAAAGCAATTTTTACGATGCAATGGGATGGTTAGCATGGGTTCAAAGAACATGACGCATGCCGGATCCTTGTAGTGTTCCAATAGACCGGTAACGGTACTGGCTGTAAAAACTCCAGGATCATGGCAATCAAAACTGTAAGAAATTAAAAAAAGGAAAATGTTATTGCAATTTGTTTATCACTTAAATGATGAGTGAAATGCTTACCTAAAACGATGACCACTTTGTTCAATACGTGCATGCAATGATCTGCCATATTTTCGAAATGTTACCGAAAACAAAAATTCCTCTTGTGCTGAATCTCTTAGCAGGAATGTACCCTCTTCTTTGCCCTCCAACAGACGTTCAGCCTCGTAGCGATCCATTTTACCCCAATAGAAACTGGAATTGGTAATACGTTCCAAATCGGGTACCAAATAGTGTACAAAATCAACTTGGGAATGGACAATGGGGCCATTTGTAACAGTCGCAGGAACAGTGGCACTACTACTACTGCTGCTGCTGCTAGTAGCAGTACCCGAGGGAGGAGCATGATATGTTGTTGCTGTGGCGGGTACACCAGTTGTTGGCGCTGTGGAACTTTTTACTGGATTTCGTAGCGCACACTGGCTATAAGGAACTTGAACCTTTAAATCATTATTCTTGGCTGCGGTGGAGGAAGATGTGGTAGATGATGGAACAGATGATGATGTTGCAGCAACTGTGACAGGATTCTGCGTAATGGATATAATGCTATTGGCGGGTAATGTCGCTGAAGTAACGGCCGTTGTTGCAGGATTCACAATAGCACACTGGACCACAACAAATTGTGATGGGGTGGTGGTAAGCGGTATTATGACATCACTACCATTTGTGCCTGCAGCTGTTGTATTCCAACCGGCCGCCGCCGTTGTGGTGGCGGTCGTTACAGCTGGTATTACCAGGGCGGCAGCTGCAGCAGTAGCCGAAGTTCCTGTGGAATGCATTGAATTTCTTTGCAGGGCATTTACGATACGATTACTGGGTAAATTGGGTATGGAATGTCTTTCAACAATTGTTCTTTGTGCTTTTTGTTCCCTTTCTAATTGCTGCTGCTGTTGTTGCAGTTGCTTTTGGGCTTTATTCGATGACCGTGAGAGGGAGGGATCCAATATACGACGGATTGCATCACGACAACTACATTTGCGGCAACGACGTTTTGTGGTACTACTCGCGGAGCTGCCACTTGCATTATTGGCCAATGATTTGGATTTACGTCGACAGCAGACATTTGATTCGAGTTCAGATTCTGTAAGTACAAAAGAAGATTCTGATTAGAGAAACATTTCATTTGAGGGATTTTATTATGAAACATACCTTCAGTTATCTGTGGCCCACTGCTATTGCTGCTGGCAACTGCCGCCACCATGGGTTGAAATTCACTTTCTAATACTTCACAATATTCAACAACATCTCCAGATGTTTCCTCAACTATCTCATCTTCACTTAAACGTTCCAGCCGTTCTCTGTTTGCAGCATCCATTGCTGATGATGAACTGGGGAAATTTGTACTATTTCTTTGTTGATTGAAATAATTATTATTATTGTTGTTGCCTGCTGCCACCGATGATGATGATGAGGATGGTATGACCACTGTTGCCGATGAAAAAGAACTGCCAGCAGTTCTTGTTAGATTATTGGTACTACTACTACAACTACTGCTATTTGCTGCACTATTAAGGGTAACATTTAAAATTTGTGTTGTGGGGACGACGACGCCCGTTGACGTTTCACTCAACAATTCCGTGGAATTTAGATTACAATCAGCTGTTAAGGCTTCCAGGGAAATATCTGCTTGATTGGTTGAACAAGCGGGCGCTGACGTTGTTGTTGTGGTAGTTGTCGTCGTCACTTCATTTCCGTTTTCCATTTTGGCCAATTGAATTTTAATGATTATCTGACGACCACAAGATAAATTATTGACCGATGTTAAACTGTTACTACAACTACCGCTAATGCTGCTGGCGCTTCCGTTATAGCCTAAAGACTGTTGTAAAATGCCACTACTATTAGCCGCAGTACTTAGGTTATGTTGTAGGCAGGTAGTAGTTGTATCAATTATACTACCACCACTTTGCTGCTGAGCACCACCCTCAGGCTGTAATAAACCGCCGCCTGTAGGACTTTCTTGTATTTGGAAATTAATCGTGGGTCCTATTATGTGACTATTAGTGTTTGTATTACTTGGTATTGGTATTCTACCCGTTGTTGTCAATGGTGGTATTGTTGTTTGATTTGATAATTCTTGACCATTTATAATTGGTTGTCCTCCAGCTGGCTGTTGTTGTGTTTTAGTGGCTGTTGCAGCTGTTTTACTGAAACGGTGACCCATCTGAATGTGTATGTCAACGTGAGCGAAAGAGAGCTAGCTAGCCAACTTAAAGAGCATGTAATAATTAACAAAAGACGTTTTGTTTCTTAGTTGTTGCTGCTCTGTTTACTCCATTAATCTGGTTATGTGTGACAGACACCACTTCACTTCTCTCTTTGTTATTATTCAATCAGAAGAACACATTTATCTTGTATTGACACCTTTCTGTAATGATATGATGATGATGATTATGTGCACGCCTCTCGACTCTCTTGTGATTTTCTCACTTTTATTGTGCGTTCAATTGTTATTTTTGTTGTGCTGTTTTACATGTGTGTAAAAATACGATTGATGTCGTCGATATCTGTAATTGAATTAAAAACAATACATATTAATTAAATGATAATTGGAAGTTGAGAGATTTCAAGTAGAAGAGGAAAAAAGAAGAAGAGAAAAGTACACATTTGACGTCAGCAGCAGTTCAGTGGCGTTTTCTTAATTTATTCTTAGAAATAAATAAATGGAATTTGTAATTTATAAAAATTTTCGATTTGTAAGTGGTTGAAAAATAGCAAAAATAAATTCATTTTGATTATAACTTCTATTTATGAAGTAAAAAATCTTTAAATAAAACTAAAATAAAACATATAGAAATAAGTTATATTCGAACGACGTTGAATTCATCGACGAATATTTAATATCTGATATGCAGTTAAAAAGACTACCACTCGAATATTTATTTTATCAAAATAAACAATATATTTGTATTGTAAAGATTATAGCGTCAAATCTACTTCATGGTTAAGCAAATATAAAATTTTGCTTTTCACAATTTTTTAAGTCCAAACTATGGAGGTGGTTTACAGCGAATTATTTGGATTTTGGTTTTAATGCATGACACAGCATAGTTATTGATGATGAACCTATAATAACGATCAAGACATACTATGGGCAAAATTTTAAAATGTTCTAGGTCGGGTGGTGTAAAGTTATACATCCTCGTCTTGGTATTTATATAGTTTAGGTTAATCCTATAATTCATGACTTACAGTACGTTTACATTTAACCGGATTTCGTTAACCCAGTGGGTTTCAATTGTCATATCCTTTGCATATATGTCAAATAAATCCTCATAAAGAAGGTTAACCCGGTAAAAAGTTCTAATGTACAAGGAGTTTTATTGCAACAATACAGTTTTTATTCAGAATGAAAAAATATGTTAATCTTAAATTAAGTATATCATGATCCGATTGGCGATAGTTGATCATAAACAACCTTTTACCACTTTAGGATTAAACACGGATTATCCTTTATATTGTGTTGGGTATGTTCAGTGTGTGTATTTGAAAACAATGGAGTTGTTTTAAACTTCAACACACAATATTTTTTAAACTTAAATACACATTTTTTTTAATAAAAATAACAATTTATATGATCATTTTAACAAAATACGCAACTGAAATTTGATTAAAAAACATTACAGCTGATTGAGAAATAAATTGTTATGGCATATGTTCAGTGTTATTTGACATTTGAACATGTTCACCCATGAAGAACAATAAATATTCATATTTTTTATTATCAATACCAGTCATAGAATTGACTTCCATAAAATACTGTATTAATGGATATTTTCTTTCTTTTTGTTGTAAAAATATTGTTTAAAATGCTGCTGATGGAGAACTACATGTCGATGGGTATGTTCAGTGATACCTAACAATACATTAACCGGGTTCACATAACATGTAAATCTAAAAACATATGGTCTGTTCCCGTACTGAAAGATTCTACTCGATTTTACTATTTTCTTCGATATCATAAAGGAAAATTCGTTAACGTAGTAAAAAATAGTAGATTCTTGCAGTACGGGAACAGACCAATATTATTCTTCGCATATAATTAATAAGGTAGTTAAAAAAATAAAATAAACTTTTCAATTTTATAATGGAAAAAATCGAAAACTAAATAATAGAAGATCTGGAACCGAGCAATATAATTAAATACTGAAATTACCAATAATACCGTATAAATTACGTTGAATATTAAATCCTTTGTAAGGATTTATTTGTCATATATGTAATGGAATTAACAATTTAACCCTACTGCGTTCACGAAACCCCGTACAATCCCGTGCATGTCAATTAAAATTTCTAACGCAAAAACAGCATTTTACGAATTTTTGAAGGTAATAATGCATATAATTTAAAAATATTTTTTATTCATTCCAAATTAATTGCAACTAAAGAAAGAAATATGTAGAAATTATTCGCCATTGTTTTGTCATGCGAATTTTATATTTCACATGTAGATGAAATAACTATAATTACATGAGTATCGTAGTTATAATAAGTGTGTCATGATATATGAATTCCCAATTCCCACGTAAAAAATATTTCGTTTTTCTATTTATCATTATGTACACAACAGTTAAAACGAAATAAGTCGTTTACTTGGAATTTTGATTGTACAGTTAGTTAACCAAAAATGAGCGGATTTAGGTTTCCAGAAATGACTAATTAACAATATTTACTGGATTTTTCTTTATCGGTTTGTTACAACAGGTATTCGTGTGTGTGCGGCCCAGCTTATAGTGAATTCATGATAAAAACAAAACAAAAAACCCAAATTAAAATCTTTTTTTCATAAGAAAAATAATTCAGCAAGAGAATATGTACAACTAACTCATAAATTTAGGGCATAAATTTGCAAAATATTATTTCTTTAATGTGTGAACAAGAAAACTCTTTGTATATAAGTAGATGGGAGGAATTGAAAAAACAAAATTAGAAGCAACTTAAATTCGAACACAGACAACATAATCTAATGCTGTTTCTGCCACACTCAATGGCGAGTAACCAGTTCCTAGAAGTAACGGAAGAATACAAAAATTGTATTCCAATTCTAGGTATTCATATAACAACGAAGAAGCACACTATTATTACTTTTTCAAGGAAGCAGTAGTCGAAGCATAGCTAACATTATTTAGCAGAATTTTGTATCATCATGGAGAGCGAACAACAATTGGATGCTTGTTAACTTAAAATAAAAAATTAAATTTGATTTCGCAGAATTAAGCTCTTATAAACAATATTATATTGTTGAAAAGTTATTTTGTTGTTTTTATTTTTCTTATAAATATTAATTTATTTTCTTCACAGTGATTGCGAACATGAAATTTCTATGAAGTAGCAATACTTAGTATCCCAAATCAGTTATATGTTTTTGGCAACATTTATCTCGTTTGAATTTTGTGCGTTCTTATGCATCGCATCGAGACAGAAAATTCATTGGAATCATTTTTTTTTTTGCTTCATATAACATTTCAATAAAATAAAGAACAGAATTTTATATATTTGTTTTTATTATTAATTCTGTGAAATTTGTATTGATGGGTTGTTTTTTTGATGCGCTTTCGTTTACTCTGTTGCTGGTGTTCGTAGAAAAATAAACAGAAAACAAGAAAAAGAAAACACGAGTACAAAGAACGTATCAGTGAGTGAACGAACTGGACGGACAATTTTCTAAAGAATAAATTTCTCTTTTTTGTGCGCAAAAATATCATACACAAATTAGGGAGAAAAAAACGACTTGTTAACCAGCAAACAATTTTTAATAGGGACAAATACAGTGCTGTAGAAGATTTGTTGAGAATTTAAAAATGGAATTAAAATTTGTAATCATGGGGTTTAAATTGATTTCTAAATTCATGCTGTCACATAAAAATATTTTCTTGTACTTAAATTCATTCCGAATATGTTTAATGTAATTAAAAGTAACAAAAATTCTCCTAATGTAAACGTAATTCTGCATTAGGTTTATTTATAATGTATTTTATGAAAATATGTCGTTTATTTGACATATAACAATCATTTGGTCTTATTAAAACATCTTATATAAACATAGTACATATTAGTTTGTGTAATAAATGTATTGATCATTTCAAACCTCCCTTCGAACGAAAAATATAGATAAAATAAAGTATTTTTTAATAAATTCGACAGAACTTGGACATCACATATGACATTGATGTCTCGTAAGAGATATCTTTGAATATCAAAACACACATTGATATCTCGTGTAACATAGCCTTAACTAAAAGATCCCTCTAAATGTCAAAACATCTCATTGTGATGGTTCACATGATAAGATATTGCGCCTTTTCGTTTATCGATCTAGTGAACCCTACTAATTTGTTCAAAGAACAAATAATCATCTAATAAATTTTACTTTTCCCCAAAATTATCATACTTCTTACATGCCACATTCCAACAAAAGCATTAGCCAAAGGACAATTGAACACATAATGGTTTTTTATTACCCACTACGGAGAGGCGGCGGTGTCGACGACGACATTGGCTGCAGCAGATGGAAACACACACAATGGTAAGAAAAAATAGTTTTGAAATATTCAATTGGATCCTTTTTCGTTTGGTTTAGATCCCAAGAAATACAATAAATAAAACCAACAACAACAAAAAGAGGAGAAGAACACAAAACCATTACAAGAACAATCCAGCTATGCATTTTACAAAGCAAAGTCGTCGCAAATGTCTGAACTAAAACTAAAAAGGGTCTACAAAATTCCTGGAAATAAAAAAATTCAAGCGAAGAATCGTACAAAAACGTATAAAGGAAAATTCTAAATACAAAGGATAAGAATAAGAACAACAATAACAACAATGTGTGGACGGCAAGCAAAAAAGATTGCTTGGAAATGATTGAATGTTGATATTGTGGATGGTTGGATGGATCTGGCTATATGTGTGTTTGTAGGTATGTATCTGTGTGTTGATATTTTGATGAATTTTGTTAAACTCGTTTTGTTTGTAATTTTCACTAACATCACCACGAATAACAACAATGCAACATCATCATCATCACCTTTAACGTTTGTTGGATGTTCTCCTCTTCTCTGGAAGAAGAAAAACGAACACAAGACAATGAGGCTTGTCATTTTTACTTGAAAATATTTATGAATGTCTGTATGGCTGGGCTGTGTACACGCAACACAACACACAAGAGAAAGATACAACAACAACGCAGCAGAGCTTGGCTTAAAGAGAAGATGGTGTGACTCTGGATTCCTGAAACTCAATGGAGGTAGGTATTCATTTGAATTTGCCAAAAAAAAAAAAACACAAATTCAAAGTTTCTCTTGTGAATTTTTAAAACTGACGATGGTGGAGATGGACGGCTTTTTTGGGGGTAATTCCATATTGTAGCAAATTTCCATGAAGTCAATTTATTATTGCTGTTGTTGCTGTTTTTGTGTTATGTAGTTAGCATTGAAACAATGTATTTATTGTGTGTAGGTAGGATGACTGGCTGAGAGATGTATGGTTTATGATCATAATGATGTTATTTGCTGGCTATTGGATGTCGTCTTTGGAATACTTGGATTTTGTGTTGTTAGCATCACTACTTATTCACGAAGTCTTCCAATTATGGAGAATTTATGCATGAACAAAATATGCATGTGCTGCTGTTGTTGGTTTGATTCCACAAAAACACTTTTAATATGAATTTCATCAAATTAATCATAATTTTCGTTTTATGTTTTGGTGGTGATGGTGTTGTTGTTGATGTCTTCTTTGTACAAGACATTTTATAAAAGGTAAAAATATGAATTTGTGTATTCTTGGAAATTCCAATCAAAGCATTTGCATTTGAAATCCATATTTTGCCTGCCTGCCATTCAGCCAACCACCTTTAGTTAACATTTTTCCAATTACTAACTGACTCACTCTCTTCAGTTGTTAACAACTTCACAACCATTATTAAATTCTGTGAATTTTGTGGCTATAATAATGAACAAAATTTCTGTAAATCTTTTAATGTAGGTGTGTGTTGGTGTGTAGGGGACAGTAAGAAGTATAGTATGTATGAAGAGTTGAATATAAACTAATTTGAAATTCCATTGAAGAACCTTGTAAGTAGTTGTTGCAAGTTGTTGAGTACAGTAGAATCAAGTTAGATATACATTGAAAAATTGAACACAATATTTACCAAGGTTACAATTAAAATAGGTGATATAATGGACATTTTAAAGATGTTTTGCAATAACCGCACTGAGATTAGATAATTTTTATTGTATCAGTACAATTCGGGTCTACAAGATTTGTCTAACTATTTATTTAAGTCTTTTCAAACCCTAATCAATGTGGAATTTTTAATTCATTTGTTTATATTTTATTAAAAATATTGAAATTTACATATATTTTTGGATGGAACTTCCCCATATCAATACATTCTTTTTTTTAAAAAAAAATCTACATTTACATCACTTTGTGTGTCTGACACTAAACAAATGTTAACTCAGTATCCGAAATTAAACCATGTTTTTTAAATAAAAAAAAGATTGCATGTTTCGCACAATTTAAAATTGTTTTGCTTGGAGCAAATCATTAACAAAAAAATAAATGGCACAACCATCTGTCACATGTCATAAATAGAAAGTATGTTGTTTAATTTTCGACAAACAGATGTTTATTTTTGGAAATTTTGGTTGTGTGTGTTTTTTGATCATTTCCAAGGAATTGTAACAGGTATAGTGGTGATCGCTTGTGCGAATTATGTTATGGGGAATTTCACAATGGTAACAAATTTTTGTGAAGGGATGAATTGAGTGTGGAAGCAGTTTTGCTAATTTTTATTAAAATTATGGTCATTATAGTAAAAATTAGAATATCAAAAATAAAAATGTTCGTAATAAAAGGGAGTAATTTTGAATATTCTGTGAGATGTAATTGTACAAATATTACTTCAACTATATCTTTTAATCTTAATAATCCCTAAAAAAAGGAATTATTATAAAGAAAGCGAAATAAGATCTGTTTATTTGAAAATTGTTATTTTCTACAATTATAGCTTCCAGAACCTGCAGAATCTACCGTTTTTACATTTTTAAACTACATATTTACTATTTGAAACCCTTTTCGACACACACACACACAAAATTAGTAAAACTTTGAACCAAATTTAAGCAAATTACATTCTCTGAATGGTAACCAGAAATGCCAACATCCGATTGGCAATATTGATGGTTTTTAAAGATTGTCATTAAATTCATTTAAGATTTAATTTCCTTACTCTGCTGGAAAAACATTCCTCTACTGCGAAAACTTGCAAAATATTTAACCGAACCTGAGAGCATAAGAACAAGGATGAAGTTTTCTTCTATTATTTACTGAAATATTTGTTAAGGATGAATATATAACCATAACGAAAATATACGACCTAACCGAGATCCTCCTAAAGAGGGGGACTTGTTTAGTTGGCATTTGTTAATGTAAGCACATGAAGAAGAATTGCGACAAAACTCGAATTTAATTCTTAATTCAAATTTTAAGTAGGATTGAAATCCTCGTATGTATCTCCACTTGATGTAATACCACGTTATATGGAACTACCCTGGAAATTTTGCAGAAATGCAGAGAACAAACCAAAGAGGAAAAGAATGGTTGAGTGTGTTTCAACATTTTGTGGGAGGACTAATACAAAATCATTTTTGAGCTATTCATGACTTATTTATGGATTGTAAATCTACTTTATAAAACAAAGCCACAATACACGTTTAACGAGTTGTTACAAAAGGAATTCTATTTTTTCAGAATGTCATTGGTATTTTCTTAGGATATCTTCCAGATATAGTTATTACATATCTCTTCTGTTTATAACATACGAGCAGGGAGGTTTGAACATGTTAATTTCAAAATATGTTTCAATATTAATTAAATGCGTTAAAATCCATCCCTTTCAATAACATTTAATTTTAACTTTGTTTAAAGAAAAAAAATAAAACACAAACATTACTTAAAACACACCAAATTGGCATCACTGCAAAAACCATATGTTTTTGGCAG